AGAGAGAGAGACCTCCAGGTGGAGGGAGAAAAGTAGAGGCTGACAGAGAAAGAGAGGTAGAACGTATACAATGGGTGAGACGTACACAGAAAACTATGCTCCCACAGACCTATATCCGGACAGTGCTCTCCAAACACCCATGTGCGTGAGTCACAGGGCTTCGCTCCACTACTCACCAAATATGCATAATAGGGTCTCGCTCCACTACACTAAACTCACGAAATTTTTTTTTGAAACTGTGAGTGCTTCTAGAGCTGTCAGAGGTCGATTAGTCTTGAAAGAAAGAAACATGGCTCCACTTACTCCAGACTCAAGAACAATAGAAGCACTCACAAATTTCTCAGGGCGACATGACAGCCCTTCTACAGCGCTAGATGACAGTGCCAGCTAGTTCTGATGGTCGGGACAGGAGGCACACTCACGAAAAAAAGAGGCCGGAGCGGGGGTAGGAGGGAGGACGCTAGAAAAACCTGAGCGTTGCAGGCTGTGAACTCTATACAAATGGAGAGTGAGTGCCCTTCGAGAGCGCTTTCTGACAGCTCTCGAAGGAAGGGTGTTGTCACGAGTTCCACTCTAGAGTAAGGGGCTGCTGCACTACTATAGATTCGAGCTTTTTCTTGAGTGCGGCATGGCTGCACTTATTCTCAAGAAATGGGCGCTCAAATACCTGTCAAAACGTCTCTAGAAAATTTCAAAACATCTCTAGAAAAATAATAGAGTCTTCATAGCTCCACTGGGCATACTCACGCTTGTAGCAAAAGTCACAAAAATTGCAGATTCTGCCATAGTACAGGGTCACACAGCCAGAGGAGGTACGCAAAAGACGCAAATGGGTACACAAATCCTCCCAGCCTTGCTGACTGCGGGGGTACCCAATGTGCGTCCACCTCAAGAGGTGAGCACAAATGTATTTTTGCTTTCCCAAGAGTTTATGGCGGGGAAAAGAGAGATCGAAAAAACAAACAAAAGACAATCCCTCTCCCTGTGTGACTTGAACATTAATTTACCGCAAATTCTGACACACAGAAAGTTGTGGCCGTGTCCCATATGGCACTGGCCCTCAGGTGTGACCAGCAGCCACCGCAAATACCCCAAAAGACGTCTCAAATGTCACAATCTTTTGTGATATTTGCGTCCAGTGTGAGTAGGCCCTCACCCTCACTGTGTGTGGGCTCTCTCCGCTACACCCCGCATGCACACAAGACAAAACTTTTGGCAGCGTATCTTTCCATGTGGTTGCCGAATCTAGCTGAAGATTCACTCTTATTGGCCTCGCTCCACTTAGGGGCTCGCTGCACTACTCCCCATACTCCAAGTTTGGCGAGTAGGCGCCTGGTTGCACTTTCTCGCCAAACTTGGCAGATGCAAAATGTGTCAGACGACTCGCCACACCGTACACACAAGTTGTGGAGAGTGAATTCGGTTTCCCCGCCTGTGCCCGGCGGTTTGTGGAGGGTGGTCCTAGGACCTCTCCACAAAACAACTTTGTGGAGAGTGCAGGGCTTCACGAGTCGCCATCAGGTAGACAAAAAAAAACAACTTTTCTGTAGAAGAAATCCAGTGGCCAGTAAGTGCAACCAGCTTGAACCGGGCTTCGAGTTCGACACGATTCTCAGTTTTTTCACTCTCCACACGACACTATTCTCAGTTTTTTCACTCTCCACGCATCCGCCACGAAATGTGACGGATGGAGACTAGTGCAAGTAGGCCCTTAGGGGCTGGCTGCACTACTCTAGACTCGTGAAAATTCCGGAGATCCCTTAAAAAAATAGCCGTTGCAGGCTGGTGCTCTTAGATCAATCTAGAGTGAGAAGGACCGAACTGCTCTGAGAGCTCACAAAATGAAAAAGACCGAACAGCTCTGACAGCTCAAAAAATGGAAAAGACGGAACAGCTCTAACAGCTCAAAAAATGAAAAAGCAAGGGCCTACTCACAGGGGACGCAAATATCACAAAAAATTGTGACATTTGCTACGGCTTTTGTGATATTTGGTCACAACTAACCACCCGTGCCATATGGGACATGGCCGCAACTTTCTGACACAGGGGATGCAAATATCACACAAAATTGTGACATTTGCTACGGCTTTTGTGATATTTGGTCACAACTAACCACCCGTGCCATATGGGACATGGCCGCAACTTTCTGCGTGTCAGAATTTGCATTATTGTGTGAGTCACACACGAAGAGGGATTGTTTTTTGTTTTTGTTTCCGACTTCATTTTCCCCTAAACTCTTGGGAAAGCAAAAATGCATTTGTGGTCACCTCTT